TCCGCAGGCTCCATTTCTTTCATCGACTCGATGGAGGTAGTTGGAAGCTTTTCGTCGAGGTTACGTAGAATCGGCTGGGGCAAGTCGAACTGACGGAAAGGGTGATCAAAGGGCCATATCTGTTTCTCAATAGACTTGCAAAGAGACAACAGAACCTGGCATTGATAGCCCCAGCGACGATTCAACGCAATCATGAAGAGAGCACGGCAGATACGTGCCGCGTTTTGGGCAACATATCCAGTATCGGAGGCTAAAGCAAAGTCCTCAATCTTGGCGCGAGAGATATAGGCTTGCAACAAGAGGTTTGTCTTTGCATGCGGCGTATCGTTTCCTCCGGCAACCTCAGTCTGCGCAACTTCATCGCGCAGTCGCTGAAGCTCTTTCGACTCGGTGTCCCTAGATTGGATGTTGTCGAATTCTCCACTCATACTGATCATCTTGAGTACATCTGCCTCACCAGATCGTGGACGCATCATGTCATTGAAAATCTCGACACTGGTTTGCAATACGTAGTATTGACTCGCAATGCGGCCCACATCCTTGGCCTTGAGATCTTCGGTCTTGTCGTTGAAGATGATCATCTGACTCTTTTGTAGCACCCGCGCTGCTTGCAAGATCAACTGCCTCCGCCTTTGAACCAACATTGGGTCATCGCGTAACTCGGCAAACTCGATTCCATAGTTTCTCGGCTCACGTTTCATGCGCACATAGAGGTACGAGTAGCCAAGCCATTGTACAGCCTCTGGAACAGAGGTGACTGTTCCAAGCGAGATTTCAGCATTCAAGTTGTCCACAAGTCGACTAGAGAAGCGCGACTCAATGGGCTGCTGCGCAGTCACAGCAGATAGGTAGTGGTTCAACTTGTCATGGGTAGTACAGATAAATCCAATACCTGTGTCCTGGAATTGTGGACGACCTGCACGACCAAAGATTTGCATAACATCGAGAATGCTAAGATCAATGAATTTACCCTCTTGGGGGTTATACAACTGAGTACCTTTGATAACAACCGCGGCTGCGGGAAGGTTGACACCCCAGGCTAGGGTGGCTGTACAGCACAGTACCTTGATTAGACCTTCTGAGAACATCCGCTCCATCAGATTTCGGTCGCTTCGAGTCATTCCGGCATGATGAGTTCCAAATCCGCTGGCGAAGAGGTCTCGCAATTCACGCGCACGCGCGTGTTTCATGTCACGAAGGGCGTTGGAATAGTTTTCATGGTCATGACAGCTGAATAAGTCTTCCCGGCCCTCCTCTGCAGCTAACTGCATAAGCATCCTGGCAGTCATTACGGTATCTTTGCGGGAGTGGACGAAAACCATGACTTGGTGGCCTCTCTCCATCATATCGCGAACCTTCTCATAGGCAACAGAGTCAATGTTGTCACGAGACTGTTTGGAGCCGGGCTTTCCTTTGACGCCGATGAAGTGTTGCTCAAGAGGCACGGGTCGGAATGATTGATCGAAGAAGAACATGCCGGCCATTTTGTTCACTTTCAAGAAGTCCGCCACATCGGTATAGTTCGGAAGGGTGGCTGATAGGCCAATAATACGAATTAGTGACTGTGTGCTTTCGACCTGACGTTGGGTTCGAGCGACCAAGGATTCGATGACCGCTCCTCGCTCATCGTGCAACATGTGGACTTCGTCAATAATCAGAAGGCGGACTTTCTGAACAAGCTCTGTGTCTCCGGTGCTTTTCCGCGTTACGACATCCCATTTCTCAGGGGTAGTAACGATGATCTGGGTTTCAACGATCTCCCGCTTGGTCAACTGCATATCACCGGTCAGTTCGCGGACCTTGATCCCCAACCAGGCTAAACGTTTTCCGAGTTTCTCCGTCACCTCAGCAGCCAAAGCCTTCATGGGAGCAACATAGACGATCTTGAAATCGTCAACTTGAACAGTGAACTCCGTCGCTTCTGGGTTTTCCAACGGATTGGGAGATGTGTTCTTTCCCACGGCATTGAGAACAGTCAACATTGCGGCATCCGTTTTACCAGCACCAGTCGGCGCGCAAATAAGCATATTTTCGTTTGTTTTGTATGCAACATCGTAGAGCAAGCTTTGCATACGATTCAGGGTTTTATAACCCTTGAAAGTACCCCGACAAAGGCCATCCATTTCAGCGATCTCCACTAGTTTCCGGCCCTTTCCAAGTGTTCCAACCTTCGACGCCGGAATCGCGAATTCAGTGTATTTCGGTTCCTCGATCTGCTCGCTTCCCAGAGGCAGCCCATATTTCCTTCCATTAGCAGAAAGTGTATTTCCGGAGGTGTGTTGCTTGAAAACATGCGGGTAGGAGGGTTCCGATCGTGTCTGGGCCGGCATCAAGGCTGCATGCTTATGTTCAAAGTCGCGCTGTCGCAGAGCATGTTCTCTCTCTGCTCGCGTTTGGAGTCTGCCTGCCATGAGCCCATCTGTCTGGGATTCCAAGCGGGGTCCCTTGTCCGACAGAATTTCTCCTCGGTGTGCAATCAGCTCAATCACCAGATCCAGGTCATCGAATCCAACAACCTCGGCTAAAGACATTTGTAGCTCCTCGTCGTTGCTGTCAGCAGCCAGAGTGGCGATGACTTGCTGAGCAAGCTCTGTCGCATCCATAGTTGAGTTTCGTATGGCCAAATCCTGACACTTGTCTTCCAGCCAGAACCGATTGTAAGAGGTCCCCGGCGCGAGATGAAGTTCATCGAGTCCATGCAAGTCGTCCAGGTCATCCGAAGTTTCATCGTCAGAGCTGATGATATCCCACACATCATCATTTGTTCCGGGAGACGAGTAGTCGTCGTCAATGTCTAGATCAATATCGCTTCCATAACTGATCAATTCATGAGGAATGGGTTGGGGGAGCTTCAGATCAGCAATAGCCTGGCGCATGGCTGCTAGTTGCGTCAGCCATTGCGACTCGGTAGCTGCGATGCTGTCCATTTTTGACCAGATATAACTGTTCAGTTGACCTAATGACCAAGAAGTGATAAGCCAAGCAACAAAGAATGTAGGGAATGAGGGGATAAGCTGGGCCAAAAGGAGTTATAGGGCAGGTCTGCAGGGCTCAGTCGGTCGCATGACAAGAGCGGTGTGCTACTCATGCCTCAGGCCACAATGCGGAGGGTCCAGTGCATCATTGTTATCGGCAACTCAGGAGCCTCTGTTTTAGGCTTAACACTTGTCACTCTGCTTTGTCCCTTCAGCTGATCATACAGCTGACCTCCTACGATAAAGAAGTTGCCTGGTTTTTTTGACACTAGAGTAATTCTCGATACGCAACTACTACAACCCGACGCCCCACTACCCTCGACAGCTACTTGCCTCCTTGTCCTCGGGCGGACAACCACGCTGTCACCATGAAGATTCTTTATATGGGCGTATGTTTCATTGCAGTTTGGATTTAACTCAATATAGGCTTCGATACGGTACTTATCATCTATAAATCTTGCAGGTTTTCCGGAACGACACGCAGCCAGCTCTCCAGCTATGCGGGGAAAAGGACCTCAGCAGGTAGTTTCATATGCGCGCTGCAACTCACTGGAACGTCTCGCTAATTATTAATAGCTTTTCGCGCTTCACTCGTCAGAAGTATGCTCACACATCCTCTCTTGGTCCGATATGGTTAGGTCACTAACCGCCACCCGCTCAACAGCTACGATGAATTTCTGATGCTCTTCACCCGAACCGTGGCCGAGAAGACAAAGCCAGGCCAACGACAGGATATTGAGGAGAAGGCCTACACATTCCACGCCTACGGACGGACAGAGGGTGTTGCCGGTGTTATTGTGACAGACGGGGACTACCCTGCCTTAGTGGCCCACCAGCTTTTGGGCAAGATCGTGGACGAGTTCCTTGCGAAACACCCACGTACTGCCTTCTCCGACCCCTCTTTGCGTGAGAATGCCTGCCCCCTGCCGCAACTGAAGGAATATATCGTCAAGTACCAGGACCCAAGCCAGGCCGACAGCATCATGAAGATCCAGCAGGAGCTTGACGAAACCAAGATTGTCCTTCACAAGACGGTATGCTCTTATATTTGTATGAGCTCACTCCATGTGCTAACTGTTTACAGATCGAAAGTGTTCTGGAGCGCGGTGAGAAGATTGACTCCTTGGTCCAGAAGAGTGATGGGCTGTCAGCTCAAAGCAAGATGTTCTATACCCAGGTATGTGAATCAAATGTTGCCTTCGTCTGAATGTGCTAACACAACCAAACCTAGGCCAAGAAGCAGAACTCTTGCTGTGTTGTCATGTGAACCAGAATTAGCGGTACATGGTGTATTCGATTATGACGCCTTGTTCTTGGATTTAACTTGTGTAATCAGACGCTGAAACGATGCATTTATTTGCTATTGTATTTGCTCTCATCTTTCTATGACTATATATATCTGTGTCAAGTTCTCTCAATTAGGAGGATGTCTTTGACTGTTTTTGTTCTTCTGTGAAGTCTTTTGCCATAAACCTCGGGGGGGATCTTAGGAACTGGACATATTCTGAGAAAGTCCTAATAAATGGCCAACTACAGGCTACCACAACGGCAAAGGACCGTAGAGTATGAAAGATAACCGACATATGTAGATCGTAGATCGTGATCAAGTATAGCTGAGCCTAAGACTCTGTGAAGCACAAGTGGCGTTCCTAGCCACCTGGGCCCGGGTTCGCATTACGGGGCCTCGGGCCGTTCCACCCTCTGAAGGTTGCATCGTAACTTTGACTTGGTCCTTCAAGTGAAGCGCGTCGAGATAGTCCGTATGCATCTTGTCTCGCTTACCCCTTGCTCGCCCTTTTCGTCCTGAAGACTCTTCTCCTCTTGAGCAACGTGCCCACTGGCGGCCTTCTCTACAGAAACGGCATGTCAGCCCATAAAAAGGGTATGAGTCTTCGTCCCAGGGCCTTCTTGTGGCTCAGACCTGAGATATCGCTTGCTGCCTTCAACATTTTCCCGGAATACATTAGGCAGGGCTGAGAGCTGCCGGGGAGTAGGCTGGTCCAGCCATTCCACATGCATTTGGTTTTAGAGCTCCAGGATATGGCCGGGAACGTGGTCGCACTTTCCCTCTTGGAGAACTTTCTCCATGAATCCAGGTCCATTCCCAGAGAAGTCCTTCTCTTCAAACTGCACCCCATAATGGTTCAGCTGGACCGGCCAAAACTGAGATTATCCCTGAATGCTTTCTGCCCTTTGTGAAAATTTGGGTACAAACATGCTTCGAAGGTGAGAACCTTCGATTCGATCCATCGGACAGGGCTCTGGTCGGAAGCGGCCGAGTCCGTAGACAAAACCGTCCCGGTGGGATATCTTTGTAATCTTCCGCAGACATGGTGAAAACTTACTATATATGTAAGGTATGTCACAATTAGCGGACTCGTCATTTCCTGGGTCGTGTCAAGACGTCAGTTGGGAGTGCTCCCTTGTGATCACTTAGACTGATTTGGGTCTGATGTGCTGGAAAAGATACCTGACAAGAATGACGATGATGACGGAGAAGGAGGAAGGAGAGGCGGAGGCAGCGTGTACTAGTAGAGATATTGAGGTACTGGTCTTTTCAGGTTTGTGGTGGCTCCCCTCTGTACAATTTGTGACGCGCCTTCCTTTCGGAAACACCATTGCTTCTGGACCACAATCCCATTTCTATAGCTACCTAAGGGAGATATCCATAGATTATGGATAGCAAACATGTATAGTTAGTATACAAAGAGACCTTGGGACCTGGAGCCTCCGCACGCCGTCTTCGAATTCTATAGCGAGACAATCTTGAATTATGTGGTTGAAATGATTATATAGGAGAGAGCCACCTACATATGTAACCTTGGACGTTACCTACGTAGGTACCTAGCTAGGTATTTGAGGCTGAAGAGGAGATGACTCATTGATACTAGTGTTGTACAGATCTCAGATCTGAACTCCTACCTCGTAGATCGATGGCTTGGCGATCCGTTCGCGGGTCGGGACGAGGCCGACGATCTTGTGGTGCAAACGTTTTCCAGAAAACCTATAGGGAGTACGGTTCCTTATCCGCAATGCTATCTTGGACCATTAATTATCTAAATATCTAGGTTATATGTTGAATACAACTTCTTTTTATCCCTAGGCGATAGTAAATCCAACATACTCCAGGGGGTCATACTTGGCCCCCTAAAACTCGTCAGAAATAGAACTACCACCCGGGCTGGACTATCCACCCAAAGAAACACAGCATGTCTATTCCCGCTGAGCTTCCTTTACATATAACAACAAGGGATGGTTCACAGTATCATACCCAGCAGGCCCCTGAAATCTATGATTTCAAATTGCTAGCCTGTGGAAGTACAGGCTTCGCAGCGGGTGGACTTATCCAGAAAACGGGATAACGGCGTTGGATATTGTTCATGATCAGAGCCACAGCCAGGATCATAGTCGACAAAAGTAATACAACTGGCAGATAATACCAAGATAGTGCCCACACAGCTTCGTCCACTGCTGGAAGGAGGGCCGTGGCGCCGGCTGGAGGATGAGTTGTCTCGGTGACCTGCATAACAACAACAGCAACAGCGGATGAAAGCGAAGCGGCGACCCAGCGCAAAGAATTGAACTTTTCCTCATTGGGTATTAAGCTGAAGAGTTTCGTGACGCATATGCCCACTAAAGCACTCAAAAAATGACCACCGATTAGTGCTCGTGGCTGGGCTAGAGGGCTCTCAATAGCACCGTACACAAGGACTGCTGATGCTCCCTGCTTGTGAATGAGAATTTGACAAGTGCACGTGGAAAAAGGGAGACGCACGTAAGAAGCAATGATACCCGGCACGCCACGTTCAATGAAGTAGGAAGAGTAATTGAATATAGCCTGTACCACACTTAGACCACAGAATGCGGCTATAAATGACCACAAGTGGACGAGATATTTCGGAGGAGGCTTTGGTGCATTCTCACGATAGCCCAGCCAGTGGCTAATGGACTGAGGAAAGCGAGCCAAGAACTCTTTCTCGGAGATCATTATTAGACTCTTGGGAACGAAAATAAGAAACAATCAGAATCTGGGATTCAGATAAGATGCAAATTGAGAAAAAGACTCGAGCAGAAAATGAACAAGGGGTCATGCGATGCACATTTCTTTCGTCGAAGAAGGGCTATAAGGACCATGATTATCACCGTAGGACACTTGTCCCGGATCCCGGCAAACTCCTGGCGCTAGGGATCGGACTTGTAGGTGACCGGGATTTGTAAACAAATACCTCTTCTCTACCAAATCCCGGGGAAATGCCCATAAAGTGACAAAATTGGGATCCCCAATCCCTGTTGTTCGAGAAATCCGAGCCGACGGCTGCCTCCGACAAATGCACAAGCGGGCCAGTCAACCTATTTCCGCGGGCCGAGTTGGGAATCTGGTAGGGGACCTTATTATTCTTCCTCTGCGTAGTCGGCGACATCCTAGCGCCTTGGCATGCAGGAGTCGATCACCGTTGCCAATTCAAGCCCAATTCGCCTCACCGATGTCTGGATAAGACCCTCCGTGTACTTTATCTTGTTCACTTGGAACATCGCAAAAGGGTTCATGATTTCCCTCGCAACATATGTGAAAGTTAGCTCACTGTCTACGATAATTGCATCTCTTACGGGTTCTCGATGTGCGGGAATATACACGAAGTTAGTGAAATTTCCCATATTTGTAACTGATTTAATGATTGAGGTAGTCTTTGGCTTTGATCCATTGTTGTCTCCCGAGCATCTCTAGCGGCAAATTATACAGTACGTCTATGCAATATGATTGTTAAAATGGGAATTGCTATTACCTGCACACTGAAGTCACATTCTTCATTAGAAACTGCACGCTTCAGCCGAGAGCAGATCCTCGATATGCTTAAACAGCAAGATGACTGCCTACTAGTGTTTGATTGCCCTTGCTCAGTTCAGAACACGCAAGAGACATTGGAATATGCTTACCGGCTGCGTGTGGTCGTGTGGTAGAAGGACATGTTGACTGAAATCACAGCTTCAGACTGTATCATCAACTGGTAAGATTTCATCAACTGTCTGGTGGGGAATGAATTGCTTAGGCTATGCCCAGCACGCAAGTTGAGATTTGAGAGTAAATTATACCAAGAGTAATTAATCCCAGGGGTATTTCTTATGCGGAACCACATTAATTCTCGGATCCGAACGCATGTTTGTCGCTATTCGGATAGGCTATCTGTTGATAGCCTATAGCCTACAATCGGACAGTGTATTGGTCCATTACTATAATGTGGGAAATCCAGTAGGCTATACGAAATAAACTGTTCGTTGCGAGATGAAGTAATAGTAACTTGTACTACATTTTATCCGACCTGTCTTCTATATAAACCCCGAAGAATTTCGCGAAGTCTCCGTCACTACAACCAGAAAAGCTCGAAACCATTAGAATTCCAACATGCAGGAACCGACCTATGACCCCAGGTAAGTAAATTACCGAACCAAGTTGCAGTTGGAAGTTAATTAAAGAAACAGCCGCCCGATGCCCTCGCTAGAGATTGCCTACTCATACAAGCTGGTCGGCATCCCGAACAAGACTATCGTCAGCCTGCGCATCGAATTTCCACCCAACGGATCAACTCCCCCCATCGGCATGGGGGCGCGAACGTTGGCGCTTATGTCCTTAAAGGAACGCTCCTTAATAAAATGAACGAAGAGCCTATGAAAACGATTGAAGAGGGTGGAAGCTGGTTTGAAGCACCTGGGTGTCATCATCGCATCAGCGATAATGCTAGCAAGACCGAGCCCGCCACGCTCATTGCTACCATGCTGACGGACACTGAAGTGTTTGAGAGGGACGGTATGGGGGCGCTTATCCAGATTGACGAGGAGTATCGGTAATATGACTAGCCGAGGATTGTAGCGATCGATAGCACATTACCTGTCGAAGAATCCATGAATATAAGCATATAATCAGGGGAGTAAAATCTGTATAGATTTTATTATTAAAGGGTAACCCCCGCGGGAGCAATTGTAAGTAAATTAATTCATTCCAGTTAGACCAGGAGCATCCGCATCAAAAAAGGCACAGAAGTCAAAATTCAACATGTCTAATGTCGGGAATGCAGGCGGAATTGGATCTGAAAGGGACGGGTCAACAGCACCCAAACTAGCCGGAGGATCTTTTGCGAGAAATAACAATTCTCGGGCGACAATTCCAATCTCACGGTAAGTTCGTTTTGCCAGCTTCCAGTGCTCACTTAAACGCTTCAAAGTGCCCATAGCCAACCGAATCTTCTCACGGCTTTTCGCTAGCCGATCCCCAAAATAGATAAACCTGCACGCCGATAGATGTGCAATGGTCACATTGGCAATCATACAAATGATGAAGGGGGAATGGGTCTTCATGTCAGTTGGTAGAGTCAACAGTTCATCAATGCTATTGATAGCCCGGGTGCATTTGACAGTATGTAGATCACGTTCCTCTGAATTATTGCATTTTAGTTGTTCCGACGGGGCCAATGGAGCACAGTGCGAAACGGATTCGATTGCGCTGTGAGTCAACGCTGACAGCGGCCGATGTATTTCAACGGCAAATCTAGGCTTGGATTAGACAAATGGACAACAGCCAATGAAGTTACAAATCTCACGTGTGCATAATGAAGAATGCTTTGAACATCACCTCGTCAAATGACCCATCGGGACGAATTAATTGCCTCTTGTTCGGAGAGAGAAGAGAGCACCATGCTCGAACGCTAGTATCAGAGCTAGCAGCCATTGTGGTATATACCTGATTATCTGTGGTATTGCCTGGAGACAAGGCCCGATCAATCCCGCGGGTCAAGCCAATAAGCTCCGCGTAGGACGAAAAATCGGTTTCATCTTCGCCAAGAAACTCCCTATTCTCGTAATCTTCTAGGGATCGTGGAGATGGAATGGCCTTATAAGAAGGTAAGCGCTATACTTTAGGAGCGAATAACGCGATTGCCATACCCCTCTTTCATACTGTTCTTCTTCACAAGGAAGGTCGGTAGTGATTTCAATGCTGCTCGTTCGGAACGGATACATATGGGTAGATCCTGCGGTCATCAGAGTCGTAACTTGGGGGCAATGATCATGTTTATGCGCCATACCAGCAATGTGGGCATCGGTGATATACATCACCCACCAAGTGCGGCGGCAACTTTCCGCTAGTACGGAATCGGCTTCCAAGTAGATCTGGGCGAATTCCTTTTTGTTCATCCCAAGGGATACTGCCATGCGAATCGCTTCGTCAAGGAGCTCCACGCCACTTTCTGTTTTATTGCACCAGTAGACAGCGATGGAATAAAGTAAGACGGCTTGAATGTCAAATGGCGTGAGAGGCTGGATTGATGACCGGATTTCGGCCACTGAGTCCTGAGCACGTTGGGCCCATGAGTCCAAAATATGAGATGGACAGGATGTATCGAAAAAAGACCCGACATAGCACATCACTCGAAGGAGAGGCTGAATTTTCGCTTCGTTGAGACGAGTCTTGAAATTTTCGAAAGGCAAGGCACAAGGATGAGCCGCATGAAAGAACTCATAATATAAACTCAGAAATGAGAAAGCTGAGTTGGAAGAAGATATTATATCCCCGTTGGTGGTGACAGAAGAGGAAGAACCGACAGTGGAAGTTTGTAGTGATGAGTCAATAGAGGTCTCATATAGATCTCTGACAGGCGACAGCGGGGCTTTCCTTGATTTTGGATTTCCACGTCGGCGTGATACAGGATAAACACATTGTACTGTATTTGTGGCGCAGCGTGAGCATACGGGCTTGCGGCCGTCGCAGCGAATATGTTTATAGCGACATTGTGAGCACGAAAGGGAATTCCGTGTTCCACGCTTGGCAGGTTTGCTTCTGACTGTATCTGACATGTGGGAATATGATAAGGATAGTGTAGTGAGGAAGGAAACCAGAGTCATATCCTGCCGTGGGTGCCCGCTGCCCGTCCATATCAGATTAGTCAGGTCACACCGACCCCAGGGACCCCAGGGTCGGGCCCCCCAGGGCCACCCCTGGAGGACTCTAACTCGGGGGCGCGTGACTCTCGGCACCGGGGGTGGTTAAAATAGTTACCAGTGACAGCGCCAGGCAGATAAGTACATGAAGTCAAATATAGCAGTTGGCCATAATATTAGGCCCCGTTATATATTTAGTCCAGTGTCGCCCAGTCAGAATCGGAAATAGAGAGAGCGAACATAAATTTGGTTACCAAGTCGATCATAATATTCTGTCTCCAATTCGGAGCGCCCTAAAAAGCAAGTGATATTGGTGTTTTGGTATCTCACTGCAGTTTCTTCTGGTCCCGTCTCATTTCTTCAACAATCGTGTAGAAAGAACAATCATGCTTTCGCGGACGGATGAGAATCTTCTGCTTCGCTCCCAAGAGTCACATCACTATGCCAATCTTTGAATGCGCGAGTCCGTAATCTCAAGGAGAACATGCGATCAATCTCCATTGGCGTCCGCCCTTTCATCTCCGGGATAGCCAGCCACACTACAATGACGGCAACTGCGGCGAATCCCGCCATCACGAACCCTGTTTTTGCCCTCAGGTTCCCTTGATCTATGTTGTAGATATACGGCAAGATGATGGCAAATACTGCAGTTCCAATACCGCTAGTAAACCACCCAATACCTTGGGTCTTGGCTCGGAGTTGTAGTGAGGACGCTTCGGCGGCAACCACATGAGACGCAGGCCACGACCCAAGACCAGAAACCATAGTGATAATCATCATGCTAACTGCTGTGTACCTAGTGGTGCCAAGTTAGCTCATCATCCTACATGTCCGATATGGTGACTTACCAAATTGTCACGGTTCCCTCGAAGATCCCTGCTATTCCTATGGCGAACCATAGAACCGTAACAATACCCAGAGTGAGTAGAATGAGGAATCTTCTTCCAAAGGCATTCAGCGACCATAAACTGACAAAATTTGCAATCAGGCCCAGCCCGATACCCAAAATCAAGAATACCAAGCTATTAGATGCACCCATACCCACGATCTGCATAAAGTAGGAGGCATTTGCCAGGAGCTGCAGTCCGAACATCTGGGGTATCACGTTTGCAAAAGCCACAACCAATGTTCGGCGCATGTTGACTCCCCTGAAACAATCGGCGTATCCATGAGTTGCACTCTCCTCGTCCTCTGCTAAAATTGACGCCTGTAACTCGTTGATTACAGCTTGCGAGTTTACATGGGTTGTATCAAGCATTCTCTGTGCGTTGAGAGCCTTGTCTGTCCGTCCCTTTCTCAAAAGCCAGGTTGGACTCTCTGGTAAGAACGCCGCTAGGACAAAAGGGACAGCCGAGAACGGCCATTGCGACGCAAAGCAAATCCGGTATGATTGTGCGCCTGTATGCTTGAGCGAAGTATAAACCACGATCGACCCGACTAGTTGTCCAAGAAGTGTGAAGATCGGATAGAATGCAATGATCGGTCCTCGGAGAACAACAGGGAGTACCTCGGACATGTACGTCTGTGTAACACACAGAAGAATGCCGATACAAATCCCCTGGAAGAGTTTACCGGCGAAGAATACCCCTCGGCGAGTTTCCATTCCGTCCGGTAGATCTGAAATGTAGCATATTGCAACCGCAATGGTGGATAAGAAACTGCCTATAGCGAGCGTAATCCGACGCCCACGACGATCTTGGTAGTAACCACCGAGAATGGAGCCTAACATCAAGCCAATGCAACTGGAGACGTTCCAAAGGGAAAGCCACATGGAAGGGATGATGTGCTTTCCGTCGAGTTCCTGGCCAAAAACAAGTCTTTCCGTGTCAGCAGCGACCCATCCTATTATTTTGCGGGGTTTTATTTACTGGAATTGAGGCATCGCAGCCACCGTCCCTACGATGACAAGGTCATATCCGTAGAGAAGAATTGCCGAGCTTAGCGCCAGGCAATAGCCCACGATTCTGGGGAATTTCCTGATCGATTGCCGAAGTGGTATGTGTGATGGCTTTCTGCTTCCATCAATGCCATCAACGACATCAGCGCCATGCTCATTGAACCCTTTGGTGGTTTGTGTCTCTGCGAGGTTCATATCGTATAGGTGCTTGTAGTAATGACAAGGGGGATGACGAGGGGGAAATTTCTTTGTCTTAAAGCTAGGGATGTATGACCCCTACAATATGGCAGAACAAAGAAACCCGTATAGTAACCTTAAAAAGGGGGGAAAGGTATAATCACTCACCCAGATCTCGTGCCATATGCCAACGGAACAACATCCTCGAACCGAATGTCTTGTTTTTGAGGATTTTCAAGCACTGACCTCAATGTGTCACGAATAACAGGGATAGTTGGTTGGTGTCTTGATCCTATTCGGGTATGAGCTGGTCCCCCGCACGACTGCCAAGGCGATCGACTCGAAAAAGAAGACCATCGCTTCGACGTAACTGGGGTAATACCTGGTCCTCCCGCTGTTATACCATGTGCATGGATCTCCAACATATATAGAAAAAGCCACAATACACGAGACTTTCACAGCTTGTTAAAGGGTTTGCAACGCTCACCTTTGATCTCCTTGGCTTTCAGTTAGAGGGGCCGATGGTATTGAAACCAATCCTACCTTTCAGTGGATCTTACCAGAATGCGATTCGACGTTCGGGATCGAGACCATCTCGCTAGAAGAGTGAACGAGTGGCTGGGGGAAGCGTTGGGAAGAAGCCGAGCCTTGCGTTACGCCTTATGCAGTCTGGTCTAGTGAAAATCCCAGAATCAATTAGGGCTGTCTGCCCACGCCTGGCCTGGCCTGAATGTGTAGGCCGCTATTGAACACAATTTCCGCTGATCACGATAATCCGGAACTCCCTGGTTTACCTGTTTCACATATCAATACTCTCCGCTCTAATCCTATAGTTCTCATGTCAGCGATCTTGCAGGTTTGCATCTGTCAGGTAATTTAGTAGGGCCATTCTAAAATAGGTATAGGATATAGTCGGTTGGCCGTAGTGAAAGCAAGACAATAAATGCATGGAAAGTCAGACGACCCAAAGGATATTATTCACACCTTGGTTTCTTGGAGATGGCTGAGGGGGGAAACTTCGTTCCAAATAGGTTGCAGAAGGGAAGCTAGCTCATGACGACGAATACCTAGGTACATCCGGATAACTGACTGCCAGGTTCTCTGTCAATAGTGCCTTATTTGCTGGTCTGATCGGCCGACCCAGACCCCGATCTTGCCTCCTTCATTTTCTCTAAATCCTCCAAATGTTGTTTTAATGCAGAAATCTCACGTTCCAACTCAACCGATGAAGCGAGTCGATATTTGAGCTTCAAAATTGCAGCTGAAATCACAAGCAGTGCTAGTGATGTAGGGTACGCCCACTGACCAACCTGGCTCGGAGTCTCCTCTGACGGTCCATCGTTGGAGATTTGGATCTCTATCCAAACGACGAAGGCAACTATTGTGAACGGACTGACTATCATGCTGAAGAGTATTCCGAAGAGGATCGCAGCATCAACAAGCACATGGAGAAAGGACCTGAGGAACCGGCGGCTGAGTATGTGTCGCATTCGGCGCCAGACAGGGGTCTTCTCATTTGTCGGTCCTGCTTCTTCCCCATTGTCACCCGGGTTGCTTAGTAGCCTCGTGGCACCACAAACTTCATCTTTGAAGCTTTTCCAAATAGTCTTTCGTTCTTTCCAGATGACCACGATCTGCGCAGATGGGATCCGTGATCGGTAAGGAGGAATCGATAAGCCAAGAGGAGGCAATTAAGGATCAGACAGAGAATGATGAGACTGTAGATATATCGATGCGAGTAAAGGACCTTTCTCCAAAAGCTATGGGAGGTAGCAACTCCGAAGTCTCCCTCTGAGGTGGCTGAATGCAATGAGTCTGGTTTCCGTAAAATTTGGGTTGAATTAAAACAGGGGTTGAAGCAGATATCTCCTAGTTGATTCCATAGCGATATGTTCAAAAATGTATCCCACACGCTGTTGTTCCACGTGGATGTTCTCCATGAGGCTTGCCAGCCGTCATTTGATGTGTCGTTGAAAGGCGGGAGATCAGGAAAGCAAAACATGTACTGGGGTGGTGTTTTGGGTATTCTCGTGGCATATACGAGGGCACATATGGAGCCAGCCAGCATGAGAGCATGCCAAAGATAAAAAAGGAGGTTCCTTGCTCGATCGTGGGTTAGGATGCGGGACCAGCATTGGAGCGGCAGAAAGACGAGATAACCAGTGATAACGATAGCAAGAACAGCATCAGAGTCAAGCTCAAGTGATGCTGGAGAGATCATGACATGGTCTGTTTCAGTTACCAAAGAAGGGAAATCATTTCGCAGGCTGGAGTTAGCGGGCAGGTACGGAATAGCGACAGGTCCAGGATCTTGCGGTGGTTGGTGACTAGAAACCATGATGAAGGCTTGGATTGCCGCAGTTCCCGCGTACGCCGCTGCAGTTCCTAGGAATACATTCATGACCCATCCTGTCCATCGAGTGACACAGGTTGCCAGCAGAAGCGCGTAGAAGAGATATCGCGGACATGAGTTGTATATGGTGCTGATTGGATAGAAGCAGAGAGTCTCCTGGGCAATGAATAAGGGGTGATCCGAGTTGGGATCCATTGGAGAAACGAAGTGGGTGGAGTTGAGGTCAGAGTATTTTTTTTCCGTTCACGTTGTTGCCTTCTTATGTGACTCTTAATCTGGTCACTGACGTCACACATTTTCATTTCACGATCTTCAATATTCAGTCTCAATAAAATGGAAAGTTGAAAATGGAAAATGGAAAATAATCAGTATATTTGCCAATTTTACAGCAACCAGGAACATAGTTCTCGACTAAACAATGAGAAGTCTTCGTAACCAGCGGTCTAATTACACTTCTACACAAGGTAGAAATTCTAATAGATGGTCAATCTACACTATGGCATATAGGTGTCAAAATGAACATTCATTCTCTGTATTCTAAATATTATATGCATCCATTCAAATCCAATCACTAATTCTGACACCCGTGTACCACAGCGCTCCAATCAGAAATATAACCATGCCCGATCTAATCATTCATTGCCTCCGGTCATTGACCTCACCCACAATAAACATTACGAGTCTCGTAACGGGACCACCCCGATGCTTTGGTCTTTTGGCTCGTAGCTTTTCACGGGTTCGGCCCTGTAGATGGCCACTCTCCAACTCCAATGAATTCTCTTCTTCGCTGGAGGCACTGAATTGTTGCGTGTACTCCGCGGCGGGTCGTACTTGAAGTGTAAGGCCGATACCCAGGCACAGAAGAACAACGAAAATCTCCTCTAGGATAGACATCACAAGCTGGATTGTGACATTTCCTGACAGCATATTGAATTCGGTCTTTTGACCAAAGGTGTAGATGAAAGAGTAGATTAATCGCACGAAGATCAAGGGGAGAGAGACTCCAACAGCCAGGAGGAGGCGGTGTTCTCCGTCCTCAATACTTTGAGTTCGTTTCAAAATCAGGAAGAAAAGTCCGAACACGCCGGTCCAGGCAATGAGATAGAAGATGAGCCCAACCTTCGATTCTGTGGTGACAAGGCCATGGGCAATATTGGAGGTTTTTGTTGCGCCGACGATGCTCAGGATCACGCCCACTAGTGCAAATAGCCCAACAAGTCGGAATACCTTCGGAGGTAGAGGCTTGGCGGTCTTTCGCATAATAGAATCATTTCTGAGAAATGTCGTTAGCTCCAAATCATCAAACTCCACGAGTAAAGGTGCTGCTCACGCTCGTGATAAAAGACCAATGCAAGCCAACAGTAATGGCGACAGTCCGAGTGAAGTACAGACAGCCCAGGTAATGTATAGATTAACATTGGAAGGATATTGAATTGTGGCCAAATAGCATGCTGCGCCAACAATGCGGGCAAGAGAAAATAGGATTAAAAAAAACCAGCCCGAGCTCCTTTTGAAACCATGATAGAACGCCATCCAGATAGAAATGAAGAGGGCTGGAGAGTAGACAATGATCTCTAGGATCGAGATCCCATGTCGATAATCGATGGCCATAATCGCGAGTGAGAATGAAGGGTATTGAAATCAAGAGGAAAACAGAGATTGACTGATGCTTGTATTATCCTCAACCCATGGGGCATTGTCTGCTATTTAACTGTTCCAATGTCATCTCAGTTCGCATTGCTTTCCTATCCATCTCTTGTCGTAGGGCAGTGCAAAATAATTTCGATAATCAGACCCACGCGCCTTATGGAAAAATAAGAGTTAGGGATAATTCACTCGAAGGAATAATTGACCAATCGCATCTGCTCAAGCACGCGGTGCATACTATATTCGGGTTAGCGCATTTCTGGCTCAGCCTCAACTCCACAAACCCATTGCTTGGTCAACAGTCTGACAATCTCCAGGGCTATGTCGCGTCTCCTACCGCAAAAGGATCTAGCGAACTGGATAAGCTGGCTTATTATTCTTCTCGGGAATCCCAGCCATGCCTCTTGTCATCATGGTGACTACATCATCGCTGGTTCCAGAATTTGCAATTCACGGGCAAGTGTAGACAACCTTGGAAGTCATGATAATGCTGTAATATATGCGAGGATAACGGCGCTTCGTTAGATCAGTCTGACTGAGCATTATCGCGACTTTTCACTGCGGTCGCCGTCTCTCCATCATTCGCGACCGTTGGTGTGACATTCAGCCCTAGTCAGAAACTTTTAGTGTGAGAAGCCCTATCTTAGCATTGTGACTCAGCTCCGTATGCCGGTTCTAGACTTGCCAGTCGCTCTCGCCCCTGAATTTGAGATTAAGGTCGGGAACTTTGGGCTCCGACGTGGTAAGTCTGTCCCATACTGTGAGCGGTGTAGTGATGAGACCGCGAGCCTCCGAAGTGCTGAGATAGCAATCATCTCAATGAGACAAGATGGTTCAGTATATTTGCACGATGGTGATCTAGCTGGCATTACTACAGCCTGGTTTCTGTTGAGATCAACGCTATAGATGATATATCGGCATGGATTCCAATGATGGCGGAAGGCATCTGGAATACGCGTCGTCAATGATTTTTGTGCAGCAAGGCACATTGCTTGCAACGCTAAAATCCAACAGCAAAATCTTCGATGTGACAGCTAGCAGATTACCACGTAGATCAGGAAGATACTTGCATTATTCCAAGATTGAAGCTGTATGCCTTCCCTGATATATATTGACGACGATAAACCGCGAGATAGGGGTACTGCGAGTAGCCCACTATGTTTGACAGGCGAGAGAAGAGCTGGCAGAAGGAGTCTGAGAAGGGAGAATATCATACAACTAGCCACCTACAGACGGGGAAGTCGGCCTAGGGTAATATAGCTATCGGTGGCTGGAAAGGTACGGCATTGAAGGGGCAAACCATTCTATTTGCCCGTTTCCTCCTAGATATTCCGCAGTAATCGATCACGGCGAGAGCCGCTAAATCAAGTGAATATATTATCTAACCGTTCAAGTTGGTTCGGCTTTGGAATTTCATCATGTGCAAGGGGGGGCGAACGTCAACACTGGAGACATAGGCCACTTCATAAGAGGACTAGCGGATTGATGGGACATGCTCTATGTTTTGTATCCCTAAAGGTCTGGCTTTGCTGCTCCTAATTCTATAATTTCTGTCTTACCAGGGTAACAAGCCAGTACTATCGATGCGCCTACTCAAAAACAATCATGCTCCTTGGCCGGATTATACGTACATGTCCGCTTTGTGGAGTCAACTTGAACTCGATTGCACAGCCGAGGTCAATATAGAAGTTTCAGCATCCTTTACCGCAATTTGTACAATTCTTCCATAAACTGGCAACCCTTGTGTTTATCACTGGGCCTGTTCCTCGTGGATGTTTCCCCGCATCCCGGCTATATGGTAGAATGACCGTTGATCGACATGCCAAAAAGATTACGATCACCGTCTCCTAGACTTTTTTAGGCTTATCGCCGGAATTCATCGTATTTCTACCGTTTATCGTATTCGCATCGTATAGATATGCCGAGGTGTTTTTGGTATGAATCACCACGCGTAGATGAAAGGAAGTATAAGAATGCGCTCGGTTTGTTAGTAGATCTAGCTCTTTATTGTCAGCAATCTACCCAATTGTTTATTCTGTTTGCTGCTTTGTCCCAATTTAGCACATCAATCATGATATCCTTAGCCTTGGCCCTAGTGGGCGTTTTGGGGCCTGTTGGTTCATTGGCAACTGATCCCGGTCCGGCAGCTTGCTCCAATATAACATCGCAACTGGGATCTTCCAAAGTCGTCACCGGCAAAACTAGCTTGAAATATGTCGCTAGCACTGAGTATTGGAGCACCCCCCCAGGATGCCTACAAGCCATCCTGTGTCGTCTATCCTTCATCCTCAGAGGATGTCTCTGTGGCTCTTCAGGCCATTCAAGCATCTGGCAGCCGGTTTGCAGTCAGAGGAGGGGGCCACAACCCTAACAAGTTCTTTTCGTCAACCGACAAAGGCGTCCTCATTAACTTGAGCAACCTCTCGGAAAAATCGTATGATCCAGACACCACGCTTGCAACATACGGACCAGGTGGTATATTTGGCGACATATACAACTACTTCGAGGATTATAACCGCACTGTGGTTGGAGCTCGACTCTCCGGGGTGGGAACCGGTCTCGCGCTGGGTGGTGGCATGAGCTATCTCTCTCCCCAATATGGCATGGCCTGTGATTCATTCAGGGAGCTGGAAATTGTACTTCCTGATGGTCGAATTGTGACAGCGTCCAATACTTCCAATCCAGACCTGTTCTTTGCGTCCCGTGGTGGCGGAGGCAATGCCTATGGTGTTGTAACGAAATATACGGTCCAGAGTTACCCTATCGGGCAATTCTTCGCGGGCAATATCATCTACGCCTTTCCCCAGAAGGATACCGTTGTTGAGGCAATTAGTAACTTTATCCAATACAACACCGACCCCAAAGCTAGCATTATTGGTACTTACGAGAAGCTACCCACCCCCGATTTGAATCTCAACCTGGACGAGGCCATTATCATGTTCCTAGTCTACGATGGCCCTGACGCAGGCGATGCGTTCATAAACTTCACGAGCATCCCACATCTCCTCGACACTACTGGTCTAAAGTCCTACCCCGAGGTAGCCGATATGCCACTTCCAATCGCCACCGAGGCTTCACGCGGGAACAATATCTTCCGTGTTGGAGTCCACCATGCTGATAATGATGAGTGCAAGAATGCCCTGGATGTGTGGCGTAACTGGGGCGAGTCGAACAAAGGCAAATATCTACTCCTTTCCCTCGATTTCCAGCCTGTCCCAAAAAGCTTGACAGACGCCAGCAAGGCGCAGGGTGGAAATGCAATGGATATGCCCGACGGTCCATGGTTCTGGTTAAATTATTTGATCACAACACTGCCGGGAATGAGCCAGCCAGACTATGATGCCATACAGTCTAGCTTCCGTGATATGGTTGCGTCGACAACCAATGCTGAAGGTCTTCCGTTGTTTATCAACGACGCAAACTATGATCAAAATCCCTTATCAACCTTCTCTACATATGGGAAATTGCAAGAGATCAAAAAGAAGTATGATCCGGACAACTTCTTTGCTGACAAGACTGGGGGTTGGTCATTTGACTAGTGGCAGTGGTCTCTACAACTTTTCCATTTACGGGTAATTATCAGTATACTACTTCGACTTTGAAAGGTCTTGTTTATAGCCATCGCAATATAATAGTAGATACTAATGTTTCATCCATACCATAGCCAAATTCAATGTGTATTGTTGGACAGATTGTCTCACATAAATGTCGATGTTGTGGTCTCAGCACCACTATGATCTCATTCCCTCAACCAGGGATTTTGATATCCTTAATACCATTCCTTATGCTCCGTATGCAAAGTACCCTTAGGTAAAAGCCAAGGTGTAACCTAACTAGCAACAGAGATACATTTGATGCCATTTATAGAGTCATTTTTACCATTGGTTGGAATAGTGTGATTAACAACTAGGCGTAAACACCCGTTAGCGCGTTCCCTAGCCAATTTACTAGTTTCCATCCCAATTGAAGATATCGTGTAGTGGAAATCAGTGCTTTTAAAGAGCATACAAGTTCGTTGAGTGGGAATTATCGTTGGGTTACACAGCTGTGTTTGGCGGTATTTCCGAATTATCCAATTATCCATCGAGTTCGTCTAACTCCTCTTGGCCCTGTCTATGTACTCTTTGGAAGACTTCCAGATACCCCTCGCACCGATCGCAATATCCCGCCGTCCATCATAAAGTGGGAAAATCACAACCGCCCCAAAAGCAGCGAACTGCCAAATGATGCCAACAACTACCCAACCACCGAAGAATGACTTCGTGAATATGTAGTCGCGATATAGGGGAAGAGGCCAAGCAACGAACGTGACCAGCACGATAGCCCCGAACATATACCAAGCAATTTTGAGCCATCTGTACAGCTCTTTCAATGTTGCGTCGTCAAATGGGTGCTCAATATCGTCGAGGTTGATTTCCACGGAAGATGGGGACGAAGCCGGCTTCGTATCGTTCTTTTCGTTCTTGTCGTCAATCTGCTCTGGGTCGTTGTTGATGCTTTCTGGTTGACTATCAACAAATGGTTTGACAGACTCAGCTACACCCTTCGAATCACTTGCGGGGTCTTCCTCGCTGATTTCGTTCAATGTGCTAGTATCTGAGGGGGTTGGCTGGATTTTTGCTTGATCTGCCAGTTCAATTCGAAGGAACACCCTCCAGTCGAACTTATAAGGTTTGTAGAGTGACAGTACAACGGAATAGAGGGCCGGCGTAAAGAAGGAAGCGATGGCAGCATATAGTGCCGGATAAGGATTTGTAGTGGTCGTGATGTTGATAGTGCCATACATATACTCGGTTGTTGCCAACCAGACAGCGAGACCTGTAAAGAAGCCAAGAACTGGAGAGATAATTGCAGCTATCCGAGTCTGCCGAGACCAGAACAAAGTTAGAATCATAGGGATAATTCCCGGGCATGAGATGATGGGTCTCAGGTACCCGATCCATGTCATGTTTGCCCCTCCATAATTGAGAGCGATGGAGATGCCGGTGATAAAGACACCGTGGATCACCACAGTCAAGTGGCTCACTCCCACAATTTGCTTGTCGGTAGCCTTTGGATTGAGGTATGTCTTATAGATGTCATAAGACAAGATGCTACTGACAGCAATCATTGAGGAGGAAACGGTACTTGTCAAAGCCATGAACAAAAGGAAAAAGAAGCCAATGATGCCTTTGTCTCCGATGAGTGCTTTGATGGTGTATGGCATCACCATGCCCGAGCTAACTTCAGTGGCGGTAAGCAAGCTAGGGTAGGTGGGAAAGATTGGTGTATCGTGAATTGCCCTCGTTGCCAACCCGATGACTGTGCCCAGACCCCAGGGGATACCGAAAACAGCCAATGCAGCTATATTATATCCTGGCACTGTTGCCTTGACCTCCGTCGCAAAGGACTTTTGCCAAAATGCGGTATCCTACCAATGACATATTAGCTTTGTAAAAGCTTGACGTTTTGTGAATCTCGGTAGCCTTTGCTAGGGACCTTTCAAAGATTGCCTTGGAAAGTCGACTTACCATGACGACAAGTGCCAGGTTTCCAAATTTTAGAATCAACCCCCAAATAATTGCATCCTTGGACTTGAATGTAAGGAGTGAACCTTCATAGTTTCCGGGGATGTAATTATCCGCAGCTGTTGCAATAAGTTTATCATACAAGCCACTTAGTCCACCAACTGACGAGTTTGTCAAAACAGCGATCGTAAAATAGATGATGAGAATAAGGGCAATAGCAGTGTGCAAAAAGTCCGTCAGGAATGTGGCCTTCAGGCCACCGACGGCTGTATAGAGGACAACTATAAGGAGGTTAGCTCTTGGTTCCTGAGATATTCTCAGAATAGAAATAAGACGGACCTCCGAGGGAACGAGGATAGTTGCCGCTACATAGTGCATGCCAGAAACACCATGAATTAGCTGAGAGCCCGTCATAATCATCGAGGCGCAGCCGAAGACGTTGTTGACGAGGTTGAGCACAATAAACACGAGATGTCCAATCCTGCCATAGCGCATCCGAACCACTTCAAGCGATGTATGAGCATAAGGTACCCGAATCTTGGCCATAACACCGAGTGCTGCCATCAGTGCAATTTGGAAACAGAGACCAGATCCCCACCACTATGGCCCATTAGTCGTGAAAGGTCATTTGAGGGTATTAAGGTAACATACCAGAGGCACCGCAAGACCGTATCTATATGTCATTGCCGCGCACAATACTGTTTCGTTGATCCACATCCAGGAACTGAAGACTGCAGATGCACACAGTCCTCTCCCTACGGATCGATTGGCAACCATGAACATTTCCGATTTTCCAGAATCTTCAGCAAGATATGCTTTCTGCACCTTGACGGCAACCAAAATGACACCACAGAACAACACGCTGAGGCCAATGAGAAGGCCATAGGCCGCCCCTTGGGGGATCAAAGCCAACTTGGACGTATCTATCGTGTTAGACATGTCTGGGCAAAGTAAAGCCAAGTTCAAAATCGCAGGGCCGAGAAATATTTATTGTCAGGAAGGTCCACCACATGTTCGATGCCAAGCCTGGTCTCTGTAGATTTGCAGCCAATTGGCATGCTCTGAAGGACTGCATAACAATCAGAGCTGCCGTGTGGGCGATATATCTCACGTCGTCCATGTCCCCAATTGCGTTATACGGAATGAGTTGTCGAGACGTGACTAACATGACTAGACACAGGGTGATTGGAAGATCGAAATTAAGCTAACAAGGTAAACATGTGGTAATTGCGGAACGGATGTGGGTGCGAAGGGGATTTTGGTTGGGATTGCGTGCCTTGACTTCCAGATTGCGATAAAACGAGTTGGAATCGCGAAAGACAAGGGTCACTGCGTACCCCACAGAGGCTATTTTATCGGCCGATATGGGATTCAAAATATTCATCTCAAATGTCGAATACCGATTACAAACGGGAGATTAGCCTTCAATGACCCTGTGCGATGGTGACACCGCTTGGCGTACACTTCTGCCCGTTATATGTACAAAGCGGTCCCCGGGCCATATGGCGCCTGGGCTATGGAAGCACCCTAAAAGCAAGGCCGATCAGTACAGGTTTCTGTCATTCTAGACCGAGCTAGCTCAGTTGCTTGACAAATCCGGCTTCTATGCGATGTCCATTGCGGACACCCGGGGGACGTACGATGTATACAAAGGCCCCAGTAATGTTGTGCCCACGTTGGCATCGGGTGCACAATTTCCTGCCATTGACCCGTTGTACCTTGTTCCTCCCATGTCCGCTGTCACACGGAACCTCATTTTTGGAGTTCCAGTGTGGCATACGAGAAACCGTACGCGCTCGCACGCTGAATCTCTATCTGGATCATCTCAGTCAGGGTCATGTGGTGTGGAATATTGTCACTTCGTACCTGGACAGCGCAGGCCGAGACCATGAGTTGAACGAGCAGATTCCTCACGATGAGTGATACGCACTAGCGGATGAATACTTCGGGGTGCTTTACAAGCTCTGGGAATGAAGCTTCCGAGACGACGCCGACAGCTCGGAACGTACATTGCTAGCGATGGTGTGTGAGAAACAAACCACAAAGGGAAATACTTTTAAGTGCCTAGGCCTCATTTCTGTGACCAACCATTTCTGTTCCAAGTCGGTGTCTCTGAGGCTGGTGGTCAATTCGGTGGAAGGCACGGGGAGGCAATATTCATCGGTGGTCAGACCCCCGAGTGTACTCGCTTGAGGGTGAATAATATACGGAATATTGCCAACCAGAAAGGCCGTGATCTCAGTCATATCAAAGTCATTGTGGTGCCACGGCTCGCGAAGTGGTTATTGGATCGAAGTGTTCGCCTGGAGAATCATGGAAGCAAGTACAAGTGGCGGGCAAGGGAGACCATTCCTCGATATCAGATTACGAAGAACTAGTTTACAGGTACAAAGTACGGAGTACCAGGTGTCTTGTCGATATACCTGGAGACCCGTGGACCCACTTTTGTATGACCTCATTTTTCCCGGCTCAATTAGTAATTCGACCCGGAGACCGTCGGGCCCGAGTCCCAGGGGCCCTGGGACAGTCTTACAAATCAAATATATTAATATAAATCGTTTGAACTGACCTGTTTGAATACCACCAAGTCCCAAGTCACAAGTCACAAAATGAAAGAAGCTATTATCGACAAGACCGTTTCGGTCATCATCCGCGACGTTGACATCCCCACTCCCAAACCCGGCCAGGTCCTCATCCGGGTAGTGGTGTCGGGTACCAACCCGAAGGATTGGAAAGTCCCCAAATGGCAACCAGATACTGTCCTGAACCAGGGAGATGATATCGCGGGGTATGTGGAGGCAGTGGGGAAGGAGTCCGGAACTTCCGCAAGGGAGACAAAGTGGCGGCGTTCCACGAGATGCTCAGCCCCCATGGAAGTTATGCCGAGTACGCCATTGCATGGGAACATACGACATTCCATCTCACCGAGAAGACCAGCTTTGAAGGTATGTTTCCCGCATCCTGATTATCGTGAGGATGAAACTAAACATATTGACCAGAGGCTGCTACTATCCCCCTCGCTGCGATGACTGCGGCTTTGGGCCTATATCAAGAACTGAGACTGCCTCTGCCTTGGGCTCCTGCCGATAAGCCCACACCACTGGTTGTGTACGGCGGTGCCACAGCGGTTGGGGCATTTGCGATCAAGTTCGCTCAGCTATCGAACATTCACCCTATTATCGCTGTTGCAGGCAAAGGCGCACCCTTCGTTGAGACACTGATCAGCAGAGAAAAGGGAGACACGATCGTCGATTATCGGGAAGGCGATGACGCCGTCCGCTCGGCGATCAAAGCTGCCAGCAAGGGGACACCCATTCACCATGCCTACGATGCCGTGTCCGAGAAGGGAAGCTATATAAATCTGGGCGCTGCTCTCGATGCACCTGGGAAGATCACTGTCGTTCTACCTGCGGAGGCTGATAAGGTGAAGGAGCAAATCAGCATCCACCGGACTATGGTTGGGTCTGTTCATATGCCCCCTGCTAAGGGCCAGGCTCTTGGTGATAAGGAATTCGGAGCTGCTTTCTTCCCATTTATTGGCCAAGGTCTGGCACAAGGCTGGTTCTCAGGCCACCCGTATGAAGTGAGGAAAGGTGGATTGGGGGGTCTCGAGGGCGCATTGAAAGATCTGGAGGCCGGCAAGGCTTCTGCGGTGAAATATTTGGTTAAGATTGCCGAGACTGAGGGAGTCCAGCAATAGTTATATAGCCCGAGAAACTGGTCTCAAGTTATTCTGTGAATACCATGACAATCATGCTACAAAATGTATGCCAAGCCAGATCGGGTTATATAGATCGGGAATTGTAGATCGGGATCGAAAATGACATCACCAATAAATTCTCAAAGTCGCGCACACGAATACACCCCGTGGACTGCCTCCATCCCAATTATCAATGCCCAACACCGCCTCATCCTGCAATGGCAAAGCGCACACTCGATGCATTCTTCAAGCCGTCAACCACCGCTCCGAAACGTCCTAAAACCGATTCCATCGAATCCAACACCGCAACCGCAATCTCACCCCCAGAGCCAAACGATATCCCAAACGAAGACACCAAACCAGCGAGCCAGCACCCAAGCTATCCAATCTCAATCGCCCAACTCCCCTCCCACATCGAAGTAGGCCTAGAACATGCAACCCCAGCAAACGCACCCCGGGCAATCAACAACCAACCACACCTCGACCTCCTCCACTTCCAGCCATACATCCCGCGCGCAACAGCAAACGAGCTATTCAAATTCCTCCGTCGCGAACTCCCCTTCTACCGCGTCCAATACACAGCACGCCGCGGCGACATCGAAACGCAAATCAACACACCGCGATGGACAACGGTCTTCGGAGTCGATGAGACATCGACTTTCATCCAAGAACAGGACAACCCCAACAGCCTCGTTCTAGTAGAAGCAAAGACCAAAACCCCAACCCCGAAAACAAAATACCAGTGCACGCCGCGCCCAATCCCAGCTTGTCTCGATCTCCTAAGGAGACAGGTCGAAGCCGCGAATGCAGCCGCAAACGCAGATAACAAAAACCCCGGCTATAATTTCTGCCTCGTAAATTACTACGCCAGCGGAGACGACAGTATTGCATTCCACTCCGATGACGAGCGTTTCCTGAGGACCCGAGCCGAATATCGCCTCGCTGTCACTGGGCGGCGAGCGGGATTTTCTAATGAAGCATAAGCCTTTCGTATCCGGGGGAATTGCGAACCGGACGACGGGTGGATGCGTGCCTGGTGCTGCGCGCGCGCAATGTCCGGGCCGGGTAGTACCAGTGCGATGAGGGGGAGTTGTACGGATTCGGGTGTGACATTGAATACCGTCTCTTCTCCTGAGTCTAGGCCTGCTGCTACGGTGCCACTGCAGCAGATCAAGATGAGTCTGGGATCAGGCGATATGGTTGTTATGCGCGGGGCGACGCAGTCGAATTGGTTGCATAGTATTCCTAAAAGGAAGGGGAAGGCTGGGGAGGCGACGAGGGGGCGGATTAATATCACCTTTCGGCGGGCTGTTGTTCCTGGCGGGACCAATAATTATTATCATTATAATGTTGGTAGTGGGGGGATGTATCGGTGGGATGAGGTTGCGAGGGAGATGGTTCTGCAGGATAGCAAGGTATAGCTACGCGGTAGCTACCCGGTGTATGATTGAACAGGAATAAGATTTGAAGGAAATAGAATATACATGGGTGCCGTAGCACGAAAGGAATATCTCATGCTCATGACTTGGACGTGCAACTCGAGGCGAGACAGATGATATCACTGTGATAGCTCTCCCGGCACATTTCAGTCTTTGTACATTTGCTTCTGACAGGGAAAAGAAAAAATAGACATTGAAGCAAGTCATCATATGGCATTGGTACTGCATCTTCCCAGTAACCATGGTATTTCTCCCCTAGGGAGTTCCGGCAAGTGCCGGGTAATAAAGAAACGTATTCTGGTTCGAATACAAGAGAGCTATGGGCCCTTGTAGGCATCAGAAGAGTGATTTGAAATGATCAGTAGTTGAAGATGACTTCCTCGCCGTAGACATCTGCGTAGCATTGGAACAGATCAGGGCAGCTACAATCAAACATGTTAGCGAGGGAAATAATATAACTGCAGGACAACTTACAAGACAGGATCCTTGCCGAAAACGATGTGCCATGAGTACTCCATAATGTTCGAAGTAGCCTCGTCCGGCAGGTCATTGTCCATCACCCAGTCATACATGCGCTGGTAATCGGTACGGGGGCGCTGGAGAATCTGCTCTCGGGAGACGGCAAACTGGGAGCAGCACGGGGCAGCGATTTCGCGGGGAACGGGCTCGCCAGGAACAGCTGTTTCCACGCAGCAGCGTAATATGCCTCGCCCGGGCTTTCGGGATTCGGGGGTTGACGGAATGGTTGGATGGCCGAGGGACATCCTGGGCTCAATTGGCAACGCAAGTTGACAAAGCCTGCCTGTTGCACGAATTCTTTCTGCAATGCCCGCACCGAGTCCACGTTGCTGTAATCCATGGTGTCGATATGCCAGCCGGCAATTACGCCGTCGCGGTGACTATGCAGGAAGACCACAACGTCTGGAAGGTCGTCGTAGTGGTCGACCAGGTATTGAAGGTAGGGGAGAGCCTCGCGACCCTTGTTCTTCGGTGTGTGGGTTGGGCATTGGTATCGTCGACGGTGTAAATGACGCTGCGCCATCTGGAGATATTCATTAGGCTGTCTTCCTCTGGGAACGTAATCGAGTCACACTCACTCTGCCAGTTCTGCGCCAATCCAAGCGGTATCTTCCTCCTTGCGCTTGCCCATCACAATGGCACCTTGGTTAGGGACCACGATTTCGGTGGTCTGGTAGATTAAAGCGGGTTTATTATCCGATGCAACCCGCCATTTCCGTTGCGGTCCGTTATCAGGTTCGGGTTTCGGTCTGAGGGATGTGCGGAAGGAGCCGGTGTCGAAGTGCCATATATCCTGAAGCGATTCACCTTTGGTCTTCAGATTGCGACAGACCAAGACGAGAGTAAAGATAATTAGTGCGGCAGCGGCACTAACACGGAGTGACAACCTCATCGCATAACGTGATTGTCGGGTTCGAGGGAGAGGGTATAGGGGTGGTGAGTGTGTGAGAGATATGAGAAGAGGCCAGTGTCTCAGAACGCAATCTTAGGGAAGGAATAAGCACCGACCCATGTGGAGGCCGGGGATCAAACTGACTCGCGTACTCCGAACGCGAGATGACGAAAGTGCCGAGTCAAGGGATGAAGTACTTCAAGAAGGAATGGAATCAATTGAAATAAGTAATATGAGACGGAAGAGGTCCCTTTCTCCAGGAAGAGAAATGGTAAAAAAAAAAAGAAGAAACGGGAAAAAAAAAGAAGGAAGTCAGCGCTTTCCTTATTTGGGAGAGCGGACTCCATCTGTTTCTGTTTCTGATCCATTTTGGGCCATTGGGGGCATTTTGATTGGAGGAAATGAAGGATCTCGGCCAATCTGCTTGAGTTTATTTATTATTTATTATTTATTATTTATTATTTATTATTTATTATTTATTATTTATTATTTATTATTTATTATTTATTATTTAATATTTTTAATTTCTGTAATTTCATTTATTCAGGGGTACATAAGGCTTACTCGACTGTGTGAGGTTACTTCGACACTTAATATCAACCTGGTCCAGCAGTTGATGTACATTCCTGAAACCATTTCTCTATTGGGCACTATACGTGATACACATCCCATGCAAGGGGATACCTCCCGTGTTTGAACTAAGTGCAGATCAATTTTCAATCCTCCGATATACTCCAACGCCAAAACTAAAAACGGGTATGACCAACGCCAAATACAGTTCCAATCCAAACCTAAGACATCATCCCCAAAATAAACCCAAGGCAACCACCAAGATAATATCCAAGACATCAGCCGCGCACCGGCAAAATATTCACATCAAAATACTCCGAATCAGGCGCCAGCCGACCAACCACACATCGCAGACTGGGCAAAACATCCAACGTTCCCTTCTCAACCGCCCAATGATGTTCTGCTAGATGAGCCATAAAGATATCCAGATTCCCATAAACCTGCGTCGAGCCCTGTGCCATCGCACAGCAGAAGACACAACAAAAGGTGCCGCGGGGAGTATTGGGAGCAAAATGCGCTGCCGGGTCCCGCTTACAAGGCACGTGTGATTTCGCCAAGAACTCGAATCGATAGCGAATACCGCTGGCTTTGTGCGTACGCACGCTTTCCTCGAATTGCGGGTTGCGACTGGAACTCTTAGGGGCCATGGGTGCTTCAAACGCGCACTTCGTACACCGCAGCCATGACTGTTGCGTGTAATAACCTGATCCGGGCTCAGAGTAGATTTTGAATCCACGAAATCCCGTGTGCACTTTCCACGCACCTTTGCAGAACCCCAGGTAGTTGTTCGTTTTGCTGGGTGGCCATAGCGGTCTGATTGCTTGGGTAGATCGGTCGGTGCTGCTTCGGGTGGAGGGGTTCGACGTGTTGGAGTCTGTTGAAGCCGTCGAGTTTGCGGAGAGGGAATCTTGGCGGGCTTGTGTGGGTGGGGAGATGGGCGAGAGGAGGTTGTTTTCTTCTTCGTCGATCGGGGTATGGCTGATGGCGTCCTCGGAGTCGGAGTCTGTGGGGCTTTCTTGCTTCCACGGGTTGCCCCAATACACGTCGTGGGGTATCGAGCTTGATCGCAGCTTGGGTCTACGCGGCGTAGCTGGTGTGATATCGAGTTGTGGAATCGGTCCAGGCGTCGACGGTGACACTTCGCTATTTCCTCCGGGCTGTGGTAGGTAACAAGGCTCGGGCGCTGACGACGGGAATGACGGTATACTCCAACGACCTGGGCGGGGATGGAACAAGTCGCCCATACTACTCACAACTGACCCAATGCCCGATGATCGTGTGCGAGGTCTTGGGTTGGTAGCCTCGCTTTTTCTCGCTGGCCCCGGTGTCTCCGTCGGTGAGGCGCAGACGGCCTCCGGTAGGAACTGGCCTTGTGTATAACTGCCTGGTGATGCAGGATATCTGCCGGAGGGATACCCCATCTCTGTTGTATGGAATGGCAAGTATCTGTCCGGACCTTTGGTGGAATGTCCTTGGCCATACAAGTTCATCCCATGATAGGTCGGATCGATGGACAGCGAAAAAGACGGTGGAACAGACGGTGGCGTTGAGATACGCTGGTATAAATCTCCCAAAATGAGTATAGTACGAGCGCGACCCTGCTCGGACTCTGTCTGCAACGCCATGAGGTCCAAAGTCGTCCCCGCTCCTGCGCCTCGCGAAGGTGTCTTAACAACGCCCTTGCAATTTGATGATAATATCTTTCATCTGCTCACGAGCGATCGAGTCACCTTGCTCGTATCGCCAGCCAAGTTCTTGGCGATGCTGATCGAACCGAGATTGGATCTCAGTACGGCCGCGTGCGAGGGACCGTTCTAGTTCCCGGGTGGACTGGCGCTCGTGGTATTTCTTCCTAATGGCAGTAAACATCCTCGCTCCGTCACTGTAGGCGGAGACGACTGTTTGCCGATTTGGGTTTGTTAATCTCATCTATTGATAGGAGGACAGGAGATGATCTTACTAGCTGCCACACAGGCTACGACCGCAATCACCTCCACCCCGGACATGGTGAGTGAGATGGAATTAAGGATATATGGAACTGAGGGGTGGAATACGAGCACTGTCTGTTTTGGTATCAAAGAATAAAGCAATAAGAGATAGACTAATTCTTTTTGATATAAAACAAGAAGCTTGGAGGAGATAAGAGAAGAGAAGAGAAATACCCAGCAAATGGACGTATTTGGCAAAAGAAATTTGGCCCTAAAGTGTGACGCAGACACAGACCTGATTGAAATCGACAAGTCCCTCTGATAGCAAAAGCACAGTCCACCTGGGCAGTTCTCTTCGATTGGCCCCGTGGGTTCTTTGACCAATTGGGAAAGGAAATTCTCCGGTGTAAGCGAAATGAGGGGGCTCAGCCTCGGTGGGAATGTATCATCAGGTGAACTTGAACTGCATGATGTTGTTTCCCATTAGTATGGTGATATAGTAAAACCATCCATAGATAAAAGATATACATTTTCATAGAAGCATAATAGTGCAAATCAGTGGCGATGATCGATGATCGGATCCACCGACTCCACAACCGATTTATAGAGACGATCCTTTGAAGTGACATATGCTGATTGTATATGGCATCCTTATTGAACAGACAAACAGTATCTTCATTCATGCATAGCTAACCAAATAGAAACAAGACAAGGCCGCCTAGCCAATCCAAGCCCTAACTACACTATTCTAACCCATAAATCCATACATAAACAAAAGTTACAAAAAAAGAAACGCTAGCTCAAATGCAAAGACAAGAAAAAGCAAAGAACACCAACCCCCGTCCTCTTCAATGATCAACAACATCGTCCCTTATTGGGTGATGCACGCATAACGCGCTCCTCCTCAGCACCAGCGACATTAACACCAGGTGCCGCCAAACCCAGCCAACTCCTCCTCTTATCACCATGACCAAGCCGGAAACTCCCCGTGCCCTCCACAACCCCAGGGTTAAAAGGGCCGATGACCCCATTCGCCATGGGCGTACCAGCAATCGACAAAGCCAGCTCGGCATCCCGCCGATTGCGCTGCTCGACCAGCTTACGCGTAATAACGCGGAAAACTTCATCAATTCCCTCGCCATCCCGCGCGCTGATCTCATGACAGCAGTCCCACCCAATCTCCTGCCCCCAGAAAGCCGAACTGCGCTTCGAGTCCGGACTCTGCAGTGCTGCAGCGCTGGCGCTGGCGTTCGATGCGCTGCCGCCACTCCCTCCAAAGACAGATGTTCCAAAGCCTAGCCCACCCATGCCTGCTGTTGCGGTCGGTGGCGGGGTGGAGGCTTGGGTTGGGTATAGTTGTTCGGCGACGTATGCGATTGTGCGCTCGAAGGGGACGCGGCGGCGGGAGGGGTCATCGGCGACAATGTCAGATTTTGTACCTACGACATGGATGATGAGGGAGTCTGTGCCGTCATCGTTGGGTGTGATGTTTTTGCGGAGTTCGCGTAGCCAACCGGCCATTTCTTGGAAGCTGTTTTGGTCGGTGATCTATGTAGCCAGTTAGTATTAGTGTTTATATACATACATAATATATATAGATATATATGTATATTCTTTTTCTTTTTTCTTATCTTGTAGGTTGCGCGTGTATAGGAAACAAATACAAACGCAAGAAGAATGGAGGAGAGGGGAAATGGTGCGGAAGTGGATGCACTGACATCATAGCACAGGAGCACTGCTTGGGCTCCTCTATAGTAAAGTCTCGACATGCTGCGAAACCTCTCTTGTCCAGCAGTGTCCCATATCTGTAATCTTACTATCGTGTCGGAGGTGGAATCAAGGACGCGCTTCGTCACGAACGACGCGCCGATGGTTGAAGCCGCTGCGGGGTTGAAGGTGTTTTTACAGTATCTCTCCACGAGCGCAGTCTTTCCCACCCCTGTCATTAACATTAGTAAACTGTTTAGTTGAGTTTCCAACCTCGAGTATATAGATTGGAAACTGGGCACTCCACAGACGACATACCCTGTGCTCCAAGCACCACAATCTTAGCTTCAAGGCTTGAACTCATGTTTCCCCGAGGTTGAGGAAGCGGGGGTCAAGGTTTTGTATTCGCATTATATGTTCACAGAAGCCAAATTCTTTGACAACCAACGCGAAAGAGAGCAATCAGATGAAAGGAAGTTTTCAAGGAGAAATGAAAGAAAAGAAAAGCTGATGTTCCGGGCGGTATCAGCCGATGTTCATATGTATTCACGAGGTCACCTGCACGTGTCTTGGATAGCAAAAAAAGAAGGGGGGTAATAGAAAAGTGAAGAAAGGGTTCAACTTTCTCACAACCCGACTTTATCTTCCATGTTGATTGGTAACCTGAGATTCAAGGCATATATACAGGCGAACAAAGGGCTGAAGTTAAACTGTCAGCCTGCGAATTAATATATTTTACATAAGTTGATTGGTTTTGCCCAGGTGCTCTTGGGGCGATTATACTCGTGATAATACTCGTGATGAGAGTTTTAATTTGTGAGGACTATGAATGGTCCCCTTGCACTGGAGTCTATCAGCCTCATGCAAGGCAGCACCCGCATGAGTCACTATTAAACTCAACCCTAAAGAGGCAGGTTTGACGTTGGCACATGCAGGGGCATTTACGATTTACATACTCCGTAGGAAAAGAGTAAATATAATGTGTTTCTCCCCTAGTGGTATCATGCAAAGCGCATGTACATGAAGCTGGCAATTCCCATGCCCGACCGAACCATTTTCGGAGGTCATTATCAAAAAAAAAAAACAATAGCACTATACTTTGAGTGCAGACAGGATCATCCGCCGGCATCAGACGGTGTCATCCTCCAGGCCAGAAACAATGGGTATATAATGTCAAAAGAAATAGCAAAGTAAAAGAGAAAAGACAAATGCAAATCTGGCGTTCACCCTTTCATTAGACAGAGGGAACAGCACAGCCATAACATTGAGAAATGGCAGCGCACAGCGCTGTCACGCCGGCAACTTAAAACACAACCGCTTAGTGGAGCTTATAGAAACTCAAGAGATGTTCTTGGAGTTCTCGGTCTCCTCGTGGAAATCCTTTCCATCGCTAGAGGTGCTGCGAGGGGAGCCCTTCTCACCAGCGTTCTCCATATCACCCTGCTGGCGGTGAGACTCGAAGCCATACTCAGCAGCCTTGGCCTCAATCTCCTCATCAGTGAGCTTAGGCAACTCTTTGGCAGCCTTGACATAGCTCATGTTCTCGCAGTAACCCTTGGCAAAGATGAGATCGATCTCCTCCAGACTGCGACCAGCGGTCTCAGGGTAGAAGAGGATCATGGGGGGGAATGAAGATGAAGTTCATCACGGCGAAGAAGAGGTAGGTACCCCAGGAGATGCTGTCAATCATAACCGGAGTGATCATAACAACAGTGAAGTTGAACAGCCAGTTCGAGCAGGTAGAGACGGCATTAGCCTTGGCACGGGTACGGAGAGGCGAGATCTCGGCGGGGTACAGCCAGGGGAGAGGCAGGATCGAGGCACCGAAGAAGGACATGTAGAGGAACAGACCGAAGACGGCACCCTTAGAAGGTCCGGTCTCGTCGGGGATCAAGCAACCGAAGACGATGATCATGGAAACCATCTGACCTGTCATACCACCAATGAAGAGCTTGCGGCGACCGATCTTCTCAATGAAGAACCAGGAGAAGGTAGCGAAGATGGCATAGACAATCATGTTGATGCCACCGATAAGCATGGACATAAACTGAGACTGACCGAGAGACTTCTTCAGGAGGACGGGCAGGTAGTAAATCACAGCATTGCAACCAGACAACTGCTGGGCGATTTGAGATGAAGAACCGATAAGCATGCGGCGCAGGTGCTGGGTCTTGCCACCAGTGAGGAGATCAGAGTAACCAGCACCGGCAGCAACACCAGCAGCCTCAATGGACTCGATGACAAGCTGCTTCTGGAGCTGGGTCTCGTGGGAATCGACTTCGTAACCACCGAGAGCAGCGAGCACATACTCACCCTCGTGCACCTTACCCTTGGAGATAAGGTAGCGAGGCGAGTCGGGCAAATAGTACATGCCAATGATAATGATAACACCGAAGATAATCTGGAAGCCAATGGGGAAACGCCAGACAAGATCCTCGGGGCCGTACGAGGCACCGAAGTCAATCCAGTAGGCAATCATTGTACCAATGGCGATAATACCACCCTCGATACAGATGAGAAGACCACGGTTGGAGGAACGCGAGCACTCGGCCTGGTAGGTAGGGATGGTTGAAGTGTTCATTCCGTTGCCGATACCAGTGATGATACGGCCGACGAAGAACTGGGCGGTAGCTCCATGGCCCTTTACGGCAGCGATCTGAATAATAACACCAATGATCATGACCCAAGCACCGTGAATAATCATGAGACGACGACCAAGCTTGTCACCAGTGAACAAGGCGTACATGGCACCAACCAGGCAACCCAACTCGTAGACGGCAGTCACCAGGGCCTGCATGGTGGAGTCGCCATGGGTGATAGGCATAAGCTTGCCGAAGGCATCGGAATCAATAATGCCGGACATGACACCCTCTGTGGATTGTTAGCAACGTTGGACTTGGATGATACTAGGTCAATGTATACTCACGATCGTAACCGAAAAGCAAGAAGCCCATAGTGGCGATGGTCGACACCGTCAAACTCAGGGGCCTTCCGGACATGCCACCATATTTCGGCGCCATGATGAAGAATAGAAGAAGATCACGATATAACCAATCTATACAAGTCCAAAGGTGTTATGAAGGACTAGTCCCAGTGTCAACACGTGGGTATGGTCGGTATGAGGGGAATGAATGGAATGACTAGGTATATAAAGACACGCGGAGAAAAGAAAGAAAAAACCCGGGGGAGGAGGAAATAGGGAGATATTTGAGTGTCTGCTTCTCCAACGGAGTTTGACGAAAGTGGCAAGGAGATTCATCGTGGGGCATAGATATTTTTCTCCCCCGTGTGTACGGAGTACTCCATACGAGTTACGATGCCTTCGAATAATAAAAAATAAAAGAATGCAAAATAATAATAAAAAGAATAAAAAGAATAAAAAGCCACTGCCGGAGTAGTTGTGGTTCAACGAATCAGAGTTGTCAAGGAGCGGAACCCATTAGCCGAATGCATCAATAAATGGCGTGTTAAGCATTTTTAAAAAGATCCACCCGGTAGTTTGCGTCCCTGATGACATCAGATATGGAATTTCTTTTTATTTTCTATTTTCTTTTGACTTAATCCGTATTTGTTTTGATGATAATTGATTCTCATCATAATTGGCCTATAGTGGTGGATATGACTTGGTCACTTCGGTGTGGTGCTTAACTAGGTAGCTTAGATCCGCACCGACTGACCAAACATAAAATCTCAAACAAGAATTCTGGATCATATTAAAATGGACTGTACCTAGTGTGTCTATTGTTCGGGTAAGGAAATGGCAGCGAGATTCGGAGTAAGGGTGAAGGACAAGCCCTACCAATAATAGGTTTAAACCGTTGAGGAAGGCGTGCCGATATCGAATAGTGCATCGGGATTGCGCATGCACACGGGAATATGGTAGGTGCGCTATTAGGGTCCCTATGATTCAACAATGTACGGAGTACTTAAACGTTGTACTCGATTTCAATGCAACAAGTCCAAGCGCCAAGCTACTCCCGTCCTTCTCGGTGCTGGTTGCAAAACGGGGCTCGGGAAGCCGTCTCCATGCCGAAGATACTCGGCGATGAGAAATGTTCGCGGGTGCCGTGAAAGGACTAGCGCCACACTAAAAGGATCGGACAGTGATCATCATGGTCGCTTACTCGATACAGGATGTGCATAACAGATCCTCCTTGCTCTTCATTATTGAGATCTTTTAATAATATATGCAATGTTTTTCTTCTCCCTTCCTTGGGGATTCCTATCTAGGCTATAGGTAATACAATATAAGGCTGCATACATGTATGTTGTACAATGTTGCACTCAGATCCGAAAACAATATGTGGAATAGCACATTTCACAGATTTATGCGAGCCAAGAGCCAAGGCGTCTAGGGCCGGGCCCGCAAGGCTTTTTTTTTTCTTGACCGTCGCTTCTTTTCAGTCTGAGTTTAAAAAATGACAAATGAATTGTATGAAAAGTTATAAATCTTTTTATTTTTCCCTTCGACCATTCAAATGATGACCCACGTCATGTCTCAAAGATATGCAGGATTATCCATCGAATCCCCTCCTTTGGCGGAAAAGTGTCGCCTAGTATCCGCAATGATGTCGTTGAACCACTTCCCGGCGTATTCGAAGTTTTCTCGAACTGCAACTAAGTGGATACGGGCGAAAAACATAGGCAACCACAAAATTAAAACAAATTTACAGAACATGGCTAAAGATTCCATTCTTTTCCCGAATATGCGAATGCACTGTATTCAGATTGGAAGAGCTCTTTACCGTTGAAGCGTATGATGGTAAGAAATGGTTCTCTTTATGGCAGGTCCGCGTGTCAATGTCCACAATTCAGGGGATTCAGGAGACTATCGATGGGTCTCCTTCGGCTAATCATGCATCTCGGAGAACCCGCCTTCCTGTCTCGTACATTGCACTTTGTATGTCCATCTAAATCTCACGTTACAGTCGATCGAGACCTCTCAACAGACCTCGCCCGATGAGGGGTCGATTGGACGATAGGAAAACCCAGCTTCAGATCTCATGGTGCATATACATTTGAACAGAACACATAAAGATAGACCCCGCTTCCTGGGGGATTTCGGTCATTTCAGAGCCTGCGATGGCCTGTCAGCACAGCCGACCTGCGGATGAGTCCTGCGTGGTTAGGATTGAGCCTTATTACCTAGGTATTGCCGTATATTATTTTTTTAGATAGGTGATCCAAACAATACCCATTTATGAATCCTACAATACAGTTTGGTCGAACTATAACCAGTGGTGGCGACCGCTTTGCGCCCGGTTCGATCTACCTGCACTTGATTCAAAGATTTTGTGCCCCATGCACACATGGTGCAACTCGTGGACAGTGCACCTTGACCGTGCCCCTTCCCCGTACAACGTTAGCGGCAGCCACGAGGCAACAAGGAGGGGTGGCCGTGGCAGAAGATGGAGAAATGGCGGAGGTGTGGGAGGGTGGAGAACATTCGGAGGCGCCGGCAATGCCAGGGAGGTGCGAGGAATGAACGAACGTGTCCGATGATAGCGGCTGCCTCGATGCCGATGTGCCGATGCAACAAACTTACATGTGCGCCTTACGCGCGTTGCATTGAGCGGCTGTTATTTTTCGCGGTCTCTTCCAACTTCGAACCAAAAAACCAGGTTTCAAAGAAGCTTTCTAGCGATCGACGGTGGCGCTGTCAGCCAAGGCCGAGGTAGGACCGTTCTTCGTCCACTGATCTCCACTACCTTATGTTTCCAATTGGCAGCTTGTATCATCCATGCTTCTGATGGTCATGAAGGCCTTAGTATCCGTACTCCAACATGATGGTTGTTATGACTTCGCGTACTCTGGATGACGATGATCACGTGGAATCATGTGATAAAGTCATGTGAATCTGTCTGCCTCAGGCCATTCGCTATTCCTTCCCCAAGACGGCGTCCCCGACATTCCAACGAGGAAATGCAGGGCTGTCAACAGCGATTTGTTCCATTAGCCGTTCGAGAGAATCAAGGGTGCGAACTGGCAGGAGCTGAAGAAAGACAATCAAATGCAATTTATGCATTTTGCAGTTCTGCTAGGGACCGTTATTAACTAACAAGGGCTAACCTTAGAATTATACTGCGTACATGTAAATCTCTATGTACGGGGTATATGGTAACATATTGCTGAATACATCATATTTTGTCTTTCTTTTTCCATATAGGTAAGGTTGTTTTCTGAATGCAGATGTAGACAACAAAAAACGTTTTTGTCGTGTGAAGGGAACATGCGGGCATGTATAATGCGTTCATTACTACTGGCTGAATACAATATAGAGAATGTCACCAAGATCGAGGCTCCTACGACGATCCCAACCTCCAATCTCATAGAGACTTCGAATTTTAGACTTGATCTTAGAAACGAATCGAATTAATATACGGACTTAAGGATTGAGGGCCCATCCGACCAGACTCTCATCCGACGAGTCGGCCGAGAAGCTCCCCGCAACTTTCTCCCCCGGACTCATTTATCCCGAGGTTCCACTAGATCTTTTTCCCTTTAATTACTTCTTCTTCTTCTCTACTCTTCTGCAACCCATACTCTCATATCCTCTTCAAAATGAGCGCAGGCAAGCTCACCGGCGCAGATGTCGCCGAGCACAACTCCAAAGACTCGTGCTGGGTCATCGTGCACGGCAAAGCCTACGATGTAACCGAATTCCTCCCGGGTATGTGTTTCTTTACTACTGCTCTTCCCTGCTCGAATGTACGCTAATATTTCCCAGAACACCCTGGGGGTCAGAAGATCATCCTCAAGTATGCAGGCAAAGATGCGACCGAAGAGTTCGAACCAATCCACCCACCCGACACCTTGGACAAGTTCCTAGACAAGTCGAAACACTTGGGAGCAGTAGACATGGGAACCGTCGAGCAGGAAGAAAAAGCTTTCGATCCGGAGGAGGCCGACCGCCAAGAGCGCATTTCCCGCATGCCCTCCCTCGCAGCGTGCTACAACCTGATGGACTTTGAGGCGGTGGCCCGCCAAGTCATGAAGAAGACGGCGTGGGCATACTACTCCAGCGGAGCAGATGATGAAATTGTAAGCTACTCTGATGTCTACATCGATACCCCCCAAGCATCAAACCCCCCAATGCTAACCTATACCCAGACAATGCGCGAGAATCACGCAGCCTTCCACAAAATCTGGTTCAGGCCGCGGATTCTCAGTCGATGTCGAGCACATCGACATGAGCACGACAATGCTGGGCACAAAATGCTCAATCCCATTCTACGTGACCGCCACAGCGCTCGGCAAACTGGGCCACCCAGAAGGCGAAGTGGTGCTCACAAAAGCCGCCCACCGACACAACGTAGTACAAATGATCCCCACCCTAGCCTCATGCTCTTTCGATGAAATCGTCGACGCCAAACAAGGCGATCAAGTACAATGGCTCCAGCTATACGTGAACAAAGACCGCGAAATCACGCGCAAGATCGTCGAACACGCTGAAAAGCGCGGCTGCAAGGGCCTATTTATCACCGTCGACGCGCCTCAGCTCGGCCGTCGCGAGAAAGACATGCGCTCCAAGTTCTCCGATCCCGGTTCGAACGTCCAGGCTGGCGGCGATAACATCGATCGCACCCAAGGCGCCGCCCGAGCCATCTCCTCCTTCATCGATCCCGCTCTCTCATGGAAGGATATCCCCTGGTTCAAATCCATCACACGCATGCCGATCGTGCTGAAGGGCGTGCAGTGCGTTGAGGACGTCCTGCGCGCTGTCGAGGCAGGCTGTGATGGCGTCGTGCTATCTAACCACGGCGGACGGCAGCTCGAGACCGCACGGTCCGGCATCGAGGTCTTGGCCGAGGTGATGCCTGCCCTCCGCGAGCGCGGTTGGGAAAAGCGCATTGAAGTCTTTGTTGATGGCGGTGTGCGTCGCGCAACTGATATCCTTAAGGCGCTTTGTCTGGGCGCGACGGGTATCGGTATTGGGCGGCCGTTCCTTTATGCCATGTCTGCTTATGGGATCGATGGTGTGGACCGTGCTATGCAACTGCTGAAGGATGAGATGGAGATGAATATGCGGTTGATTGGAGCTGCGAGTGTGGCCGATCTCAATCCTAGTCTGCTTGATACCCGTGGCTTGTTGGGTGGGCACTCTGTTGTGCCATCTGATACCCTTGGCCTTGGTGCTTATGATCCATTGGAGGCACCGAGGTTTAATGAAAAGCCGAAGCTCTAGATTCTTTTTGGCCGCATTCGTGGTTCATTTGTTCGTGTTGATACTTGCCGTGTTGTTCGCATCGGTCTGCAGGATGGTATCGTCTGAACATGTAACATTGAGTTCATATATATCTCTATACCCATGCAATATGTACAAATTATTTATCTTGGAGAAAAGTATACTTTTTGCCTTGTAGAACTTCAAGTGCTTTTCAACAGGCTACGACGATGGATGGATTACTGCCGAGCTTACGAAGATATATTTCGAACCCCAGGTGAGGTGGACACTGACCCAACACAGGTACCGAGGTATGTAACTTGTGTCTGTGTTAATCTCTTTGGTTTTCCATATACATATAGCTGTTAATAGCAGTTAACTGGTTATATTATAACTGCATCTCGACTAACATTCTAGCCTAAGGTTGGACCCAAGTACTTCGTAAGCCTTCCAAGCTCCCGACGGCAGTGAGGTTCTGTTGCTTCAAATCCCAGCCAATCTTATATTTATTGGGTTAGTATTGCTACCAGGATTCGAATCGTCAACATATATATTATATAGATTATCATTTTGTGATGTGAGATACAAGGTCGATCTTGAGAACCGACCTTGGGTTCGCTCAGGCTGGGATCAAAAGATGTGAATACCCGAAAAAGAGGCGCCATTTCTCGTACAGTCAAAACGCTCAGCTACTATTTACAGCTGCAGTTCACCAAGCGCAAACCAACGAAACATGGTATTATGAACAGGAAGCAAAAAGCGAACGCTATGCATGCCGGTAAAAGATCACAGGGTAAAAACCCTCGGCGGGTTACCCAGGCGGCCAGTATCGCGATACATGCAAGCGGCGTTGACCATCCACCCACCATTAAGGTTCTCCCCTCCCCAGACATGGGCCCAGACCACACCTAGGATCCCGTATCCCACGACCCGCGCGGCATCCATCCAGGCAGACAAATCGAAAAGATCGCGCAGGAAGCCGGCCAGCGAAGCAAGGCGGCTAAGACGCGCGCGTGACCGGCGCGAAGCACACAATCTTTCCCAGGCCCGCTGGGCTTCATCCCAGAATATGGGTTCTTGGCCTGCGGATTCATGGACATGGCCGAAGACGTGGAGCGCAGGGCGGACGCGCCATGATTCCGCTAGCAGGTTGGGACAGCCTGTGGAGTATACGGGGGACAGGTCAAGATGGGATTGGGGTGGGGTGTGGGTGACGAGAATGTCTGTTTCCGGGGGCACGGTGCCAGACCAGGCGTCATGGTGTGGGGGGTATGTGAAGGCGTGTTCGGGGCCGAAGGGGGACGATGGCTGGGACTTGCGGCGCGCCGTAAATGGTGAGGGAGCGCGAGCGGGAGCTGGTGAGGGGGGTTGTGGACGAGGGCGTGGAGGTGTCTGCGAACGAGAGGGTAACGGCTGAGTGTTGGAGGTAGTGGATGTCACCCCAGTCGATGCGGGAGGCGCCGTTCAGGTCGTGGAGCGAGTGGATGGATGCCGTAGATGAGGAGACTGCGGAGAAGGAATCCCCCGTAGAAGCTGGGCCTTTGCGGTCCTCATCCAGGCGCGACCGCACGTCGAAGTAACTGTCATGGTTCCCTCCGATGGCGACTTTGTATGGGTGGGGAAGGCTTCGGAGCCAGTCAACGGCGGCTTGGATATCGCGTGCAGAACCGTCGTTGCAGAGGTCGCCGGCGTGGATGAGAAGGTCTCCGTCAGGTACGTCTGGCCATTCGAGGGTGTGGGTATCAGAGATGCAGACTACTCGGATTGGTTGAGTGCCCGGTGGAGGGAGTCGAGGAGGTCCGCGCAGACGGAGTAAGATCTGGTGCACTGGATAGAGTAAGGCCACTAGGGGAGAGGCGATGAAGTAGTCGGGAATAGGGCGACGGTTGAAGGGGCTTGCCATGGTGGCAGAGAAGCCAACAGCTAGAGTCCCAGGAGTTCAAGAGGTGAATCCACCGAGATCAAGCCAGGTACCTAGTTACCCCAAGCGGGGATCGTGACATCAGGACCGCAGTCGATCTTCTCTCTGTTTCTTTTCAGATTTGACTGAAATATGATAGAATTATTTGGTAAAATATGGTATAGGATATGATAGATAGGGGAAGGTTATAGCATAAAAGACCTAAAACACCCAAGCAGCTCAGTGTGTTAAGTGTGTCAACAGATTCAACAGAGTCAACATCACAGAATGTATCATCTCACCTGACATGTACGCGTACTTGCTACTTGCTGTGTCTCTGTTAGTTATTCAAAGTACCAGCGACCTTTTTTTCTGACTTCTCTTTTCCTTTTTCTTTTACATTCGTTCATCCAGTATATTATAGACTATTTATTGTCTATACTCAATGCGTCGATATTTGCCACCGCGACGCTGTGGCTGCTTGCGGAAAACCATCCCATCGATCCCAACACTCCCCTTTTCTCCGAAGTGATCTGTCTTTCTAAGGTTTCTCTCGATCTTACAAAACTTGACTTTGCGATCGGATCGTCACTCTGGCCCATATCCTCTTTGGCCTTTTGCCTTACCCGCTATTTTCAATCTTTGACTTCTTCTTTTCCCCTCCCCCCTAGAATATTCTCAACAAGTTCATTTGAAATCTTCTAGGAGATTTTCCTCGATTACCGTGTCTTTACTGTGTTGAAAAGGTGGTAGAGGGGTCCCCTCCAACATCCACCGCCTCTAAGTTCCGCTTGAGCCAACCAAAAGCCAGTGTGCCCCGCCTCTCAGCTTGACCTCCCAAATCTCCACACCATGGAGGGAGTCGATCTTACCAAGGCGATGCTCAACAAGGGCAAACAGATGGCAAACGTGGCTGCTTCAGCTGCCAATGGCAACGGTGGAAAGAAGAGGAGAAAGGGTACTGACTTGAAGCCCATCGTTACTAATGAAGGGAACCCTGCGCCCGGCCTTACTGAATCGTATGTTTTGAAACATTCCTGATGAAGATAGTTACTAACTTATCTCCCCGTGAAACAGAACCGGCGCTGCTCAGTCGAACCCCAACGCATCCGCATCGCGCTCATCATCCTCATCGTCTGGCGAAGAACTCGAGGCTACCGCGGAAGAGGAGGACTCCGAAGATTACTGCAAGGGTGGATACCACCCCGTCGCTGTCGGTGAAGCATACAACAATGGTCGCTACATTGTCGTGCGCAAGCTTGGCTGGGGTCATTTCTCCACGGTCTGGCTGTCACGGGATACAACCACCAACAAGCACGTCGCGCTGAAGGTGGTTCGATCCGCCGCACACTACACCGAAACTGCGATCGACGAAATCAAGCTCCTCAACAAAATAGTCCAAGCGAAACCTTCTCACCCTGGTCGGAAGCATGTGGTTAGTCTGTTGGACTCGTTCGAACACAAGGGGCCCAACGGTATCCATGTTTGTATGGTCTTTGAGGTCCTGGGCGAGAACCTGTTGGGTCTGATCAAGCGGTGGAATCACCGCGGTATTCCCATGCCGCTAGTTAAGCAGATTGCGAAGCAAGTGCTGCTGGGCTTGGATTATCTCCACCGCGAGTGTGGGATCATCCACACAGATCTGAAGCCGGAGAATGTGCTGATCGAGATTGGGGACGTGGAGCAGATCGTCAAAGCACATGTCAAGGAAGAAGCCAATAAAGAGGCGAAGGAAAAAGAGGATAACCGGAATGGGCGGAGACGGCGACGAACATTGATCACAGGGAGCCAGCCGCTCCCCAGTCCGCTCAACACCAGCTTCAATAGCTTTGACTTCAAACACAGCTCGTCCAACTCGCACAGCAGCCTCAACCAGGTAGTCAACGAGCCTGCAGGTCAGTCCCCCTCAGTGCAGATATGGCACGATTGTGCGCGAACTGAAACTGACCTAGCATCTACTGCAGAAATGCCTTCAATGAGAGAACTGCTTGGCGTGAAAGAGGAAGATGCGAAGCAGAACCAGCGAGAGAAAACTGCGTACGTTATTACATCTCATCTTCACTGCTATGATGTATAAGAACTTGCTCTAATAATATACATACAGTGATCTTCTGGAGCGAGAGGTGTCTGGCATTTCTCTTGATAAAGGCTCTTCGAGCAAAGCACCCGAAGAGGAACTTGACGTGAATATTATCTCTGTCAAGATTGCAGACTTAGGCAATGCTTGTTGGGTCGGTCATCATTTCACCAACGACATTCAAACTCGTCAGTACCGCTCGCCCGAAGTCATCCTGGGCTCTAAGTGGGGTGCCAGTACTGATGTGTGGAGTATGGCATGCATGGTGAGTGATTGTCATCGATCACAGCACAGCCGAAGCTGGACGGGATGCTGACTTTCTAGGTTTTTGAACTTATCACTGGAGACTACCTCTTCGACCCCCAATCAGGTACCAAATATGGCAAGGACGACGACCACATCGCCCAAATCATTGAGCTACTCGGTCCCTTCCCCAAGTCATTCTGCATGTCCGGCAAATGGTCCCAAGAAATCTTCAATCGCAAGGGTGAACTGCGCAACATTCACCGACTCCGTCACTGGGCTTTGCCCGACGTCCTGCGAGAAAAGTACCACTACTCCATGGAGGAGAGCATGCGTATCAGCGAACTCCTACTGCCCATGCTAGATCTGTCACCGGAGAAGAGGGCAAACGCTGGTGGCATGGCAGCTCACGAGTGGCTAAAGGACACACCTGGTATGGATGGGATTGATTTGGGCATTACTCCTGGAACACGCGGGGAGGGTATTGAAGGCTGGGCTACTGAGGTCAAAAAGCGATGAAGGTGACCTTAGTGACCCCCTCCCTCTTTGTTCTCTTTTCCTTGGCCTGAAATGGGGCTATCCCCTGGGTTTTCATTGCGGGCATGCCCTTATGGCGATGATGTGAGTTAACGATCTTTTTCCTCTTTCCATTTACGGATTGACGCTGGTTGGTTTATGTCTTTATTTCTTCTTTCTTCAAAGCTTTCTTTCGTCCTATGCTGGTAGTTGGGGTGTTTTCGACATGGTCGTATGCTTATGCCTCGCCTTCCCCCCTTGCACGTCTCTACATTTTGTGTCTGGTGCTTTCCATCTCATACCTCTCCGATAGACTCGTCTTTCTATTTCCATTGATCATATTCGTGATGGGTCGTTTAGTCTCCTGTGTCATCCCTTCCCACTCATCTGTGAAGTCCTCCCCGTCTTCTAGATTCCCTCCGCCAGAGAGACAAGTTATGACCATTTGCTATGTATGGATCCAATCTCCGTACGCTTTTTTTTGAATTATTATCAACTCCCGGATGCAATTCAAGGGTATTAGAACCCGATTTATGATGTTTGTAAACGTCTCTACGACGGTAGCTGGTTCAACATCCCCATTCTCATGGCTGCTCATCCGTTCCTTCGCTCGGCAGCTCGCTTGGGAACCACCCATACCGAGAAAAATCGACATACATCTCGCCCATGCTGTCTGTAGTAACCTCCACACCTTCGTGTGCGAGCGCCTCGGCCTGACGCTCCGCACTTCCGGGTCCACTGCTATAGTTGTCAGCTGGGAACACGCATCCATGGATAAAAGTTCGTTTCAAGCCTGGGTCATATGCTCCAGTTTTGAAATGATACAGCAATTTGGAATAGGCAGTCTAGCTCGAACGCACCGATGCGAAATCATTCCTTTCGAATTAATCACTCGCTGCCACGGCACCGTGCTCGAATTGAAGTGCGAACCAGACTCCGGCGACGCAAGTACTTTGAGACAGATCCCGACTTGGCGGGGACGCTGAGCTATTACCAAAAGAAAATGGTCAGTATATCTATAGCGACCATATAACTTTTTCCATACGTTCACCTAAGAGGCGTGCGATATGACCATAGGAAGTGACTTTGCCCCGGGGGACCTCTTGGATGGCTTCGTAGACTGCGTTGGCCCACCACTCTGCTTCTTCGGAGCGTGGCATTGTGCAGGCATGGAAATAATCTCAACAACAAAATTTGAAGTCTTCCTCTACATTGCCGAGCCCATAATCAAATAAAACGTTCATGCCTTAACACGAAGCGCTAGGCGGCATACAGTTCGGGAAAACATTCCCCCGGATCATTAAATCACTGAGCTCAACCTGCATCGACATTTCACGTTCCTCACATACACCATATCGAAATCATGCCTGGATCACTTGCCGACTACCTGGCAAAGAATTATCTGACTGCCGACCCGGCTACCGAGCGGCCAAAGAAGAAGCGAAAGAAGACCAAAGCCATCGATACTGCAGGCTCCGGCCTCATCATTGCCGACGATGATCCACCAGACATTCGCTCATTAGGAAATACAGGAGAAGACGACGAGGACAGGCCTTACTTTGAAACGTCTGCAAAAACCACAGAGTTCCGCCGCGCAAAGAAGTCAAGCTGGAAGACGATCGGAGGACCCACGCCCGGTCAAGGCGGAAGTGAACAAGAAGCCGCCGACGCAATTCTAGCCGATGCAGCAGCAGAACGCGCCGCCCAGCAAGACCCAGACGACGAAGATGCATTTATGATGGACAATGAAGACGATGGTGCGGGTCGCATGGAGTCTGGAGCAAGAGGAGGTCTCCAAACCGCCGCCCAAACCGCAGCGATGGTGAAAGCCCAAGAAAAGCGGCGCAAAGCCGAAGAAGCACAGTACCGCGATCCCTCGGCGGCCAACCAAAAGAGCCAAGAAACAATCTACCGAGACGCATCCGGACGGATCATCAACGTGGCCATGAAACGTGCCGAAGCCCGCCGCGCAGAAGAAGAAAAGCGTGAGAAAGAAGAACAGGCGCGCGAGGCGCTGATGGGAGATGTGCAGCGACAACAGCGCGAGGAGCGGCGACAGGACCTACAAGCTATCAAGGCTATGCCGCTTGCGCGGACGATTGAGGATGAAGAAATGAACGAAGACATGAGGGCTCGTGATCGGTGGAATGATCCCGCCGCGGAGTTC